TTTTGAGAAAATTAAAGGCTTTTAAGTGCGCCTTATAGTGCGGAAAATACGGTAAACAAACAAAGACTGCATTATTGTAATTTAAGGTGCATTTCCCCAAAATGTTATAGAAGTTAAATAAGACAGCATTAACTTTCTCCAGTTTTATAAAGAAATTAATTAAAATTTTCTTAACCAAACAATGATTTAAAGCATTTTAACTTAGCAGTTTTAACTTTCCCCTTTTTATGGACCATTTTAAGTATCTTTTAACTTATTTCAACCCTTTTTATGGACCATTATTACATCATTTTTATCATCCTTACACACACACACACAAATAATTATTTGCTCTTATTTTAGCCTAATAGGTGTTCCTGGCATATGCAACAATACATAATAATAATAAATATTATTTTAACTATATACATACAAGCTGTAATTATTTTATTACATTTTTATTCCTCTTTTTTAACCTACAGTTTGATAATGATTGTTTGCTGTTATGTTATTTTATTATGTTTTTACTGTTAGATCATAATTGCTGTTCCCTTCTGAAGTTTTATTACCATTTATAGAATTAAACTGAATAAAATACCAATTAATTGCAAAATGTCTGTATAAAGTGTTTTGAATTATCACTATCCATCCCTTATTTTGTTAGATTTTTTAATTATCAAATACTGAGTAACAAAAAGGCTTGCATTGTGTTCCCTTTCTAACCAAATGTTATTGTTTGATTGTAATCACAATGCAAAACCTAATACTTATCTAACAGAAATATCTAAAAATATCAAAAAGTAGTCTTTTAGAATGTCTAAATATATATCTAAAAAAAAAAAAAAAACGAATAAAATGGAGAAATCATGTCTAAAAAAAAACAAGGCGAATTAAAAGGCCTCTCTATGTATTTATATAGGGAGCTATATTATAGCCTATGGGCGGTTACAGGACATTACACACATTTATATTTTTTAACGCCACTGGACGGCGCTTTTCTCACTTCAAAATTTTTATTTTAAAGGCCTGCACTCTATTTTTATGTGAAATGTTGCATTTATTATAAATTTTTTTTTTTTAAAAATATATATTAATTCTAATGGAAAAAATAGCTAATAAAAATTGTATAATTATTGCATAGTAACAGAAATCTTTAAAAATTCTAAATAATAATCAAAAATTATTATTGAACAAGAATATATTACATTAGTTTTCCTGGGGGGAAAAAAAAGTTACATTTTAAGGCTTCGTTCACTTTAGACCGGGAAGAAGCCAAGTGTGACCCCTAAACGAAGAGGACCAGAGGGTTAATAATACTGCTATATAGACTACATGATAGGTATCTTTTCTAATATTTATTAGTTTATTATAGTGTAAACTGAAATATTATACTGTGTTTTACAGAGAAGGCATGAGACACATCTGGAGGAATACTGTCAACTGACTTCAACAGCCTGCAAGAGGCCATCAGAAGGTGGAACAGGCTTCAAGACGAAGCAACTGAAGCTGCTGGAGACCAAGCAGGTGTCTCAGAAGACAGTTGATCAGGCTATCCTCCGCTTCATCGTTCAAGGTCTCCAGCCCTTCTCCCTGGTTGAGAAACCATCCTTCCAAGACCTTATTGTAGAATTACAACCGAGTAGTGCCGTCATGTCCCGCATGTGCGGCGCAAGATTGATTCAGCTACATCTAAAATGAAAGAACGTCTCAAGAACGAAATGAAAAAGGTACCATACATTGCCACCACTACTGATTGTTGGATGGCCAGGAGAAGGAGCTTTATAGGTGTAACAACCCACTGGCTCGATCCTTGCAGTTTTAAACGCCGTTCAGTTGCCTTTGCTTGCCGTCAACTAAGGGGCTCCCACACATTTGATGCATTGGCAGCTGTTTTGACCGACATTCATGCAGAGTATGAAATAAGTCTAAAGGTTGTTAGAACTACAACAGACAACGGGTCGAATTTTGTCAAAGCGTTCCGTGTCTTTGGTCAGCAGGATGAAAATAACAATGAAGAGTTAGTTGCAGAAGGCACAATCGAAGAAGAAGTAGTAGGAGAAGATTGTGATGCATCTGATGGTGAAGAGGAGGTGGAATTCATGGATGTGGAAACCATTCTGGAGGAAGATGATGGGCTTCAGTATCAGCTGCCGAAACATCATCGGTGTGCATGCCACTTACTAAATTTAGTTTCCACAGTCGATGTTGATCGCACTAATAAGACAGAAGCTTACAAGAAATTGTCCAGATCAGCCTTTTCTAAGTGTCAGGCACTCTGGAATAAAGCATCAACGTCTCCTCAAAATGCAGAGCTTATAGAGGAACACTGTAAGCTTCACCTGGTACAGCCTAATTCAACTCGATGGAACTCCTCTTTCATGGCCATGGAACGTGTGGTCAGAATCATTAGAGACCAAGGAGAGGGGTCTGGGAGAACGGTCTGTGCTGTACTCAATTTTCCAATGTAAGTAGCTTATGTAGGGTGACCATATTTTGATTACCAAAAACCAGGACACTCGGCCCGACAAACAGATACTCAAATGATACTCGAAGTTTACTCAAAGATGCCTTATTAATTTCAATACATTTAAAGTAGCCTATGCCTCCTCTGTATGGATAGAAAATTGTTATATTACAAGACACAAATTCAGATAGGCTTCTCAGAGGTTACTCAACATGTTTTTTATGACAGGTTTCAAAAATAATGAATGAAATAATGATAGAAATAATGTCTCTTCTGTATCAGAAAAATAAATATATAAATAATAAATAACTAAAAGAAATACCTCCAAATTGAACAAAAATAGCTCTCACAAACTTACAAAAACGAACTAACAAAATATATTTATATCTTTAGTTTTCTTCCTCTTTATCCTTTTTTTCTTCCTCATCCTCCTTGTTTGCCCATCTATATTTTGCTGTAGAGCTGATCTTTCCCAGCAGTTTTTTGAAAACCAGGACATTTTTTTTAATCACTTTATAAAAAACAGCCAGGACGGTCAGGACAGGACGTGAAAACAGGACATGTCCTGGGAAAACAGGACTGTTGGTCACCCGAAGCTTATGTTAATGTATAATTGTGTTCTTATTTTGTTAGAGTAATGCTTACCACATAATCTGCTGTAGGTACATAAACAAATAAATAAACGTCCAGCATTGCACAGTGGTTCTGTATACATTTTGTTGAAATATGTGTTTGTTTATTTTCTTCTGTTTCTATTAGGTTCAGTCCGGCTGACATAGCCTTTTTAGGGGAATATGTCACCACCATGAGTCCAGTTGCGAAGTCCTTGAACATACTACAAGGAGAAGTCAAAGTTCAGATGGGCTGGCTGCTCCCGACAATCACCACCCTCACAACCAAGCTTAAAAAATCCAGACCGTCACTCAGATTTTCCAAGCCACTTGTTGATGCTCTTCTTGAAGGTTTGAGGAAGCGGTTTGAGAGCATGATGTCAGAGCCAGAGCTAATTGCAGCAGCTATTCTCGTTCCAAGGTTCAAAACCTCCTGGACCAGCAATGACACAGTCCTACAGCTTGGTAAAAAAAATGTTTTTTTTTTGTTTGTTTGTTTGTTTGTTTGCTTGTTTTTTTTTCAAAAACCTTTACATCCAACAATGATTCTATGCAGTTGTTTACTTACAGAGTAATAATAACAAAAATATGTGTTTGTTGGTGTGATTCTGTGTTTCTAATCAAGGCCTTAGTTACATCAAGGAACATCTGCCAGAACACGATGAAGGCGGTCTTCGGTCTCCTGATACCACATCAACCTCAGCTGTGCGTAACCTCTCACTAAAGCTCAACACAGCCCTGCTAGCTTCAGCAGCGTGTGAAAGGCTTTTTAGCATAGCAGGTTTGCTTTTCACCCCAAGAAGGGGATCAATTCATTCACAGAATTTTGAGAACCAACTTCTTCTCAAGTTGAACAAGGACTTCATGACATTTGATTGAATTGAAGTACAGTACACACACACACACACACACACAGAGAGTTGTCACACATAGGTTGTGTGTGTGAGAATGGTGTTATTCAGCTGAAAGTATTTTCTCCTGCCTTTGTATGTCAGTGTGAGAGGAAGGGGCTTAATACCGTCACTCAAATGAGCTGAATTTTATTTTTCCTTCTTTGTACGCTGACCTAAACACAGCTGATTAGCTGATTTTCTTTAATCATTATTATTTTCTCTTTTTTTGCTCTATGCTGCGTGTATAACACGGTCCGGTTCAGAGGTACAGAACATTGCTATATTGCCTTCTTTGCTGGTTTAGGTTTATTGATTTGATTGATGAAACTCACATGTACACACAATTGTTAGCTGAATGTTCTTTTCTGATATTACACATTAACGTAAGCCGAGCATTTGCTTTGATGTTCTTGAGTATGCGGTGTGTTTAACACAGTCAGGTTCAAATGTGGGTGCAAAAAATACATTAAAACTCTAGCAGAGGTTTGTCAGAGCGTTGCCATTGTGCTATTGCCTTGTGGGCAAGTGAGAAATGTTAAATAAAGCAACATGGTAAAAAGATGAAAATTACTTGATTTTACTTTCAATTCCTTTTACATTCTCCAAGGTATTAACATTTTTCATAACTCAATGTAGGACGTTTCTGTACATAAATGTAAGCACTGTGGCAGTAGTAATGCAATATTTAGAAAATGTACTTTTGTACTCTTGATACTCAAGTACTTTTAAAAACAAGTACTTCAGTACTTTTACTTAAGTAGACATCTGACTGTCGTACTTTTACTTGTACTTGAGTAAAATTTAGCAAGTAAAATTGAAGCTGTGTACTCTGTCCGCCTCTGCCTACCAAATGGATTCACATGCAAATGCGAGCCTGAGTAAAAGACAATCTTAACTTAGCTGTGCAATTGTACATAATGCTTCAAATGCCAGATGGACATTAAAACATAAACCAGACAAGAATTGAGCTTGTTATTATGTGTTTTGGGACTGAAAGATCAGGGCCCGTATTCATAAAGAATCTTAATGCAATGAGTCGCTCCTAGTGACAAAATTCTAAGAAAATTCTTAGAAATGTGGGCGTTTACTCTTAAAATTAAAGAAAAAAGTCATTCAGAAAGCATCTTAACCCTTAAAAGAGGTCTTAAGGTCAAAATTGTTAGGAGTATGGATGAGGACTTTTAAGAGGCTTAAGAGTTTCTTTAGCAGAGGAGAAAATGACAGAACGATGAAGAGGGAGAGGAAATGTGATGCAGACAATAGATGACAGTGAGTTAATAAGACGCTATAGATGAGTTTCAGTTTCAGATTCCTTTATTAGTCCCCAAGGGGCAATTCAGTTTTACAGCCAACCCATCCATAATAGTTAAATGCATTAACACACAATGTATAAAAGAGAAAAGAAGAAATAAATAACCACATCCACACATACTAGTATCACACTCACACACACGCACACCTGCCACTAACTAAACAGAGCAGTGGAAAGCAAGAGCCAGTACCATGTAGTTATGTATTTTCGTTTAGCAGTCTTATAGCAGAAGGAATGAATGAGTTAGCATAGCGATTAGTTTTCCGTATTGGCACATAATACCGCCGACCTGACTGCATAATAACAAATTCTATACTGAGTACATGATCTGGTTGGCACATTATTCTGTCTGCCTTTTGGACAGCACGTGTTTTCCAGAGAGAACAGAGATCATTTAATTGGGTACCAGTGATTTTTGAGCATACCTTAACAATGTCGCTCAAACTTTTTTTATCTTTCACGGCTAGTCCATTAAACCAACACAAGAAAGAAAAAGTTAATAGGCTCTCAATGAAGGCCTGATAGAATGTACATAAAATTCTTTTACAGACCCCAAAAGAGTTAAGCTTCCTCAGTAAGTATATTCTTTGGTTTGCTCGCTTAATAATGCTATCACTGTTCTCACTGAATTTCAGTTGTGAGTCAAACACTGTGCCTAAGTACTTACATGTTTGAACTATTTGAACATTTTCATTATGTACTACACTTGGTTTTGGTTCATCACTGTGCTTCCTAAAATCTATGATTACTTCTTTAGTTTTTGACACATTTAAGTCAAGGAAGCTGTCATCACACCATCCGACAAATTTCGTAAGGGCACTATTGTGGTCAGATTGGTTGCCCTGTAATAGGGACAACAGGGCTGAGTCGTCTGAAAACTTCACCAAATGGCTGTTCTCCCAAGATGACCTACAGTTGTCAGTGTATAATATAAAAAGCAAAGGTGAAAGTACACAGCCCTGAGGAGAACCCGTGTTTGATACGATGACAGATGACATATTACCATTTACATAGACCTGCTGCCTTCTATTTGTTAAAAAATTTAAAACTAATAATAAGATCTGCTCGGGTAACTTAAAATGTGAGGCTAATCGTTCGACTAGAATGTGGGGCTGCATTTTGTTAAAAGCTGAACTAAAGTCAGCAAATAAAATTCTTACGTGTGAGGCAGGTTTCTCAAGATGTTTATACACCCTGTCAAGAATGAAAAGCTTTGCATCCTCTACCCCCTTGCCCGCTTGATATGCGAATTGTAGTGGATCTAATTTAGTTAGGAGGATGATTATGTCCTTTACGATTTTTTCAAAACATTTCATTACCAGGGAAGTCAGTGCAATTGGCCTAAATTCATTGAGGTCTTTAGGAGATTTTGTTTTAGGGATAGGTATTACTGTTGATGTTTTCCATATGTCAGGTATATCCCCACTGTCAGCACATTTTTGGAAGATAACTGTGAAAACCTCACTAAGCTGCTCGGCGCAATAGTGCAGTGTACGCCCACAGATGGCATCAGGACCAGCAGCCTTTACTTTTTTTGTATTTTTAAGTAATGTTATGACTTTTGTCTGTTGTATTTTTATCCCTCTCTGAGGCGTTAACGTCTCTCTCAATGTGGCTATACTATCTGAAAAGGGCCTTTCAAACCTGCAGAAAAATTGATTAAAAGTATCTGGCAAATCGCCATCGTCTATGCCCTTCCATTTTATTTGTTGCCTTGTTCTACCTACAGGCTGATTAATGGCTGCCATAGTTTTAATACCTTGCCAAGCTGCCCTTAAATCCCCACTGTTATATTGATTTTCAATTTTGTTCTTATACTGGATTTTTGCCTTCCTTATTTCATTTTTGACTTCTCTTGAGGCGGCTTTTTTCTCTACCAGGTCCCCTATATAGAATGTCTTTTTTTTCCTATTGATAACACTCTTCAATTCCTTCGTTACCCAAGGCTTATTATTGGGATACATGACCACTTTTTTAGATGGAATAACCATGTCAACACAATATTTGACATAATCAGAAATTGTTTCTGTAAGTTCATTAATGTCACTACAAGTGTCATAAAAACAGTTCCAATCAGTGCATTCTAGACACCCCTGTAGAGAGGTAATACTGTGTCTTCTGTCCAGAGTTTGATGATTTTCTCCTCACGCTCTAGGCGTCTGAAAGCGGGCTTGTACACAGGCATCAGATAAATACTATTGTGGTAGGAGGCACCTAGTGGCGGCATGGCCAAGGATTTATAGGCCCCGTTTATTGAGCCATAACAAAGATCTAAGGTGGTATTCCTCTGCGTAGTAGAGCAAGTTATATACTGTTCATATGATTTTAAGGTTTTGTTTAAGGTACAGTGGTTAAAATCTCCTATAAAAAACTTTGGGGCCTCTGGGCAAATAGAATCCAATCTATGAGTGACATCCGCAATCACTTGCGTTGCCGTTGAAGCATTGGCTCGCGGGTGAATATACACAAGCGTATAAAACAGCTGTTGGAACTCTCGTGGTAAATAGAACGGCCGAAGAGACACAGTCAGCAATTCTATGTCCGAAGTGCATATCTTTTCTCTCACTACCACAGTGTTACAGTACCTTTTATTTACGTAGAGACACACTCCTCCTCCCCGACTTTTCCCAGTTGTCTTCGGGTCTCTATCCAGACGAATTGGGCTACCAAACCCACTCAAGACCAAGTCCTCATCCCGGTCTGACTCCTTCAGCCATGTTTCCGAAAAGGCGAGAAGACAAGTGTCTCTTATGCCGGGTTTGCACTTAATCCAAGCTTCCAGCTCGAGATCATGCAGGGATCATGTTTGTGACTGATCTTATTAGAGACACGCTAATATCTCCGACACAGCGCAGGAATGCCATAATGCCAGAAATGAAAGTAATCACTACATTAAGATATTTGGCAAATGGGAAAATGCAATAAAGCAGCAGTGATTTGGGTCTGTCACAACCTTCTGTAAGCAGTGATCACACAAACATTACAGCACTTTCAGAACCTCTTATTGTGTCGCAGTTCATTTAGTTTCCACTGGACATTCCCACCTTGCAGGCTCAAAAAACTGCAGTTGTGAATAGCAGGCTTCCCTGGTGCGCACAAGCAGGGCAATGAACCGTTAATAATTTGCGCTATAAGCTCCCACGTCCGCTTCTCGCTCCATGCTGTGACACCCGGCCCGAAATTTCCTTTAATGATGGCCTATAGACGGTGGGCCGAACGCGTTTTTCGTGTTGTTGATCGATCTCCATCGATAGAGTATACGCTTTTTTCATGTGCGATATTAAGTTATTATATGTAGTCAAATAAAATTTGTTGGCAATTCTGGTTTGATCATATATTTTCACAAACGTATGTTTTGATTGTCAATCTTCTTAGGCAAATCGCGGGACAGCTCTAGTAGCTGCGCCAATCGGATTGTCGTTTTTAACGTCATTAACCAATCGCAGACGGCCAGACTAGGACCCCGAAATGGGCGGGCGTGACATAGCGGCAATGTTATATTGTAGTAGGCCTATATTTATATATCTAACACAAATAAGACACTTTATCATGGATATGGAGTGTTATGTGCATGTTACTAGCTGTACATCAACACTAACACCTTTTCACTAACAAGTTGGATCAAGTTTGTACAATGTTCTTTAGAGTGGGTGAATTTAAATACAAAAGAAAGCCAAATCGCCCAAAAAGCTGTGGAAAAATAAGAAATCACAGAAGGCCACATTCCAGATGTGCCAATTCATGTTGGCTACCATAGAAAATTATACATGCAGTATGCTAACAAAAGAAATATTGAGAGAGCCAGCAAGAGGAAAGAAAAGACAGTACAGGAAGTTGAAGGGTTGTAAGGCAGCTTTATTGTGGTTAAGTGTAGTTGTTTGACCTCATACGTTTGGATAAATCATGGTATAAATGCTTAGGATCCTTTTTAACCCCAAACATAAATTATTGATATTTACATCTCAGAAATAGTGAAAAAACAAACAGATATAATTATATAATGTAATAACATATATATTAAGTTAATTATTATATATTTAGTCTTATAAAAGTTAAATATCTATTATCTTAGCATGACTACCTTTATAACTAAATGACAATTCAACTATTTGGTCAAGCAGGTTTTAGTAGTATATGGCAGTAATATATACAATGGTAGAACATTTAACATATTAACAACAATAAATAGATCTCTCCGAAACTATGCGCACAAAAAATAAACCCTGCCCATGTAAACCCTGCCAGGCCAGACCATGGATCTATTAAGAGAAAGGCTTCTATAGACACAGCGACATATTGTCCATACTAGACATCTAGTGGACACATTTTTCAACATATAGCGACTGAAATGTGCTCCATCACTCAGATGAGCAAAACAGTAAAAGGGGTTTTATGATGAACCCTGAAAAACAAAGGGCATTTTCATTGTTTCAGCAGAATAGATGTGTCAGGGCTTAGTCCGATCAGGCCAAGAAGATGTCTCGCAGGGCTGAGGATCTGGGATTACCTGGGGAAACAGATTAGCAGAGTTGTAAACGGTGTAGTAAAATTATTGGTTCACGGTCTAATAAATGAGGATTTACATTTATGAGGCACTTTAAAAAAAGAATTTAAAAAAAAAGTGTAAGATGAGCCCATATTAAAATGCATACAGTAATCACACCTTGGGCCCTATTTTAACGATCTGAAACGCAAGTGTCAAAGCGCAAAGCGCAAGCAACTTTGTGGGCGGATCCCGGCGCTGTTGCTATTTTCCCGGCGGGATAAATGCCTCTTGCGCCTGGTGCAAATCTAAAAGGGGTTGGTCTGAAGTAGCTTCATTATTCATAGGTGTGGTTTGGGCGTAACGGGAGCAAACCAATAAGAGCGTCATATCACATTCCCTTTAAGAGCATGATGAACGAGGTGCGCTTGTTCCATGGCGCAAAACTATTATAACGGCGCATTTACCAGGCGCGCTTCAGAATCGATTCACAGCCGAGGAGATCGATGTTCTCGTCAGGGCCGTAAAAGAAAGAGAAGTGACATTGGGGACGGGACAAACCCACCCAAATTAGCTTCGGTTAAACATGCATATAATAATCGGGGTAAATGTGTAAGCTTATATGCCTATTTTTCAAATTGTCATGGACACAAAAATGATTTTCCTCGTGTTTTAATATTTTTCCTTATAATAATATATCATTTGCAAAAAGTAAAATGCATCTGTGTAGATGAGAGAATCATCTACAGTGTGTGCGCGTTGTTCAGACTCTGTATTATGGTCAAGCATGCGCGCTTAAAATAGCATCTGAATGTACGCGCAACGCGCCACTGACTTTAGACTAGGTTTTTTCTGGTCAGTGGCGCAATTGTTTTCTGGAACTGCAAAATAGCACTAGGGAAAGTTTGCGCCGGAACACGCCTCCTCTTTGCGCTGAACCGCCCCGGGGAGCGCAAGTGTATTTCTTAGTTAACCGACGTGCATCTGTGGAGGGAAAAGTCTGCTTTGCGCGGGTGCAAAATAGGAATGATACATGTGTCAGTGTACAAAGTCATTTGCGCCAGGTGCAAGATAGAGCCCCTTGTGTCAATTTGAATAATAAAAGCATACCATAAGGGGTCGGCAGTAAATTGAAGTGGTTATCCAACTTGGTATCAGCTTGTAGTTGCTGAAACTGAAAATAAGGTTGACATTTTTAGAAAATGTATGTCATGACTCATGAGTAATTAAAACACTAAACAAAAGGGGGGAAAAGCTTTATTTATAGCAAACAATTATATGTCTTTTGTTTTATTTGACAATTTAAACAATTTGAATCTCAAGTGTTATCTGCTAACAAGTTGGAAGCATTACTACTACAATCCCTGCAGTCATCACATTTTTCTGTTTTTCCCTTATCTTTTCTAGACAGAGATTAAAGTGGAAAAGATAACATTTATCATATAAGTTTACATCTACTAGCTACATCACCTAATAGCTAGTCATGGAAGAGATAACATGTAACGTTATTAGCTAGCTACATACGATTACATCAACTACACACAACCTAACGTTACTATAGATAGACCTTCTACGGGACTGATTCCACCATATCTTTATGTACACAATAATAATCTTTTACATTTTAATCCTTTTATTTTAAATATTTGGCATGTTTGTGCATGTCCCTGTGTGTGTAATAAGCAGAGTGTGTGTTTAATAAGCAGAGTGTGTGTGTAATAAGCAGTGTGTGTGTAATAAGTAGGGTTGGGTATCGTTTGGGTTTTATCCGATTCCAGTACCTACTCGGTATTTTTTAAACGGTTCCGGTGCTTAAACGGTTCTTAAATCGGTGCTTAAGAAAATGAAACCGCACACACTTTATCAAAAAATAATACCCTTTAATTTACAGGGCCAAACTGGACACAATATTAACTTAAATCTTTAAACAATATTAATACAAACAGATGGTAATAATAAAACCAATATAAAATAAAAATTCATATTTACATAATATCAAATGAAACAATATTGTATCAAACAATGTAATAATACTGGAGATTAATAGAGATTACTAGGCAGAGCTGCCAACTCTCACGCATTGACCGTGAGACTCACGCAAATGACCCTTTTCACACAGAAAAATCGCGGACAAAGAGGACACTGACAGACAAGACAGAGAAGGTTACTTTTGATATGGAACAAATCCACAGCTGTCAGATTCTGTCAATATTTTTACGAGATTCACACAATAAATAACGTTTTGGCTCTTTGAAATGTGACAGATCGCTGTAGCGCGTCAGTTCAAACGGCACGTGATACAGCAGCCTACAAATACACTGCTTCTTAGCTACGCAGCGTTGAGTGAACCTATGAAAGAGAACATCTCTGGTTACTGGTGTAACATATCTCTCAATAGGGAACAGGACGCTGCCAAGCTCCTCGCGCTGCCGACCAGCTTCCTTTTTCGGCAAAGAAATCTGAGGAGCAGATGGCGCGCGCGCGCCAACATAGTATGACGACGTAAGTGCGTCGATGCGGCGCCCGCGCCATCAGCCAATGAATTGGCTTGATTCTACATGGGATTCAGACTATCGGCACACCCAGAGGGCGTTCTGACGCGTAATTTTACACGTGAAATGCAGCCAAACCTTGTGAGAAAGAGCGCGCATGCGAGACAGAAGAAATTATTCTGTCTAGTAATCCTCGTCTTTCATATCCTAATTTATGGCGCTACTGTGCAGCCTGATAGAATAACTCTGTTTACGTTTTCTTCTCTGTGATCTGTATGTCATTTCTAACTAGTGTAACGTTAACGTTAAATGTAAATACAAACATAATCCGGAATAACCTATTATGTTAACGGTTTACAGAGTTCATGCACAAAGCTAACGTTATAAGACAGGTATAAACAGCAGTAACGTTATTTACCTGAGCCATTACACCTGGAATCTTGGATGCCGCTGTTAATATTTCTCGTCTTCGGATAGGATTCCTGCTGGAAAATGTTTGATTGTGTAGATTTCATTAGAGAAGATTTTATGGTGTGAACTCATGGATCTAGCTAGCTAGAGAACGCATGTGCTACGCTACAGTCGTGGTAATGGTACTATATTTTGAACGAATACTATTGGCAGACGTTAGTCACGTGACGATAGAATTCGTTTTTGATTGGTTAGATGTATAGTACTCCCTCGCCTGTGCCTCATCCGTTTATTAAACGTAAATTTAGTTTTCAAAAAAATATGATCGACTTGACACTGCCAACAAACGGATACGTGTTCATAAAAAAATTATTTAGTTTATGTGAAAAAAGCAGCTACTCTATCCTCGAGGATCTATCATTTCAAAAACTAAAGCAGATAGCAGCGTTCGGCCCACCGTCTACTAGTGTTCATCCACTAACTGGGCTAACAGTAAACACGGTTCTTCTGACCAGTCGGGCTTTCTCGTCTTTCTTTTGTTTTTTAATCCATGTTTGCTATATTAAAACAAACATTCAAACCACCACTTAAATAGACAGCAATCAGTGTAATTGG